CATGAACAATACACAATAATTCATATTATTCTTCCACATAACAACTGATGAAAGTTTTCTACGTTAACCATTCAATTGAGACTATTTCAATTTCTTCTAATTGCTTCGGAGTTTTTCGCCTAATCATAACTATCAAATGAGACTTCTGCTTCAGCTACTACCAGAAGAATCCAGATTTGAACATCGCTAAAACAGTTTCTGGTATAATAAATGAGAGAAAGTACCGTCCACAAGCCACTCGTGTTACGTGACTGCCCAACATTTCGGTCACTGCAAGCATCGTGTTCTGTGAGGCACATTTCCGTGAACTTCCCAACTGTCCAAAGGAATCACTCCCACAAACGAATAACCTTCCCTCATAGGTCAAAGCCACCGTATGACTGTGCCCACATGCGACATGCACCACATTCAATGAATGCAATGTTTTCACTTCACATGGAGTTGTTCGTTCTGCAACCAAACTCATAGAATACGCCTAAATCCCCTTATCCACCTTCTACTTATTCATCACATCAGAAATTTATTTCAAAATAAGTTTCATCACAATTCCCTCGAGTAATTCTGTATTCAGAATTGAAAACATATTGTGAAATTTATAGATTTCTATAACATGAATGATATTCATTACTATCCAATTATAATAATACCAGGATAATAATTTTCGCATCCTTAAAAGCCATGTAATCTAATTGCTCGTTGTTCAAATGGCCCTCTAAAATGACATTCCCCTCTCCGCTACAAAATCACATTCGTATCTCTCTGATGTTCACAACTCAAATACAAATCTTCATGGCCCCATTCTGATCATATGTCAGTTCACAATACAAAAGGATATGACTATCTGATTAAGTGAATTAAAAATTCCATTAAACAACCAATCGTTTTTTCATATACACTGATTGTGAGCAATAAATGACATTTCAGTGAAATGAAAAACAACCAAACAACCAATCGTTTCAGTCAGTGAAAACTATGACAATAATAATAATAATAACATTAATAACTGGGTAATATTCGAACCGTTATTGTCGGATGTCCCCAACTGACCGTACTCGTTATTACCCCAAACGAAAATCGAACCACTTGCCGTCAACGCAACGCAGTAATCGAATCCAGCATTCACTGAAACCTCATCATTTCCACTGCTATTGTGGCTTTAAACTGAGCACTTTTCCTACCAAACATGCAACTGAACGATATAAACACATCTATTATCAATGAACACAATAATCACCCATTCAGTCCAATAAAAATTCTATCTGATATGTTACCTTGTACAACAGGTAAAGTCATAAAGAATTCGATTTCTTTTGGTGAATATATCGTTCGGCCATCCGGTTGTAAGCCCCAAACAAACACTCGACCGCCTGTAAAACGTGCCCGATAAGTTATTTCGAATACGAGCAGGCATTAACTTAACTCTCAACTACTGCAACTGTATGTTCGGAACCACACGCCACTTGAACGGTTTCGGTTAGCGAAATTACACGTCTGAAATAGATGAACATTTGCACTGATTTCATATATGCACAATTCCATTGTCAGATGAATTTTTTTAAAATTGATATTCAAAGGATAAGGAAGTGGTATTTACAGCACAGATTTACTACTGAGACCTTAACTTGACAATCCAACAATATCTCAAAATGACCTTCACTGAACTGAGGCTATTTATTTTGCTCAGTATTTGAAATTGTATGATTTGTATT